TATTGGACTTCGGAGGAAGCTAGGACACGTATTTACCCTTGGTTGAGTTTTCCTATAACAACAGCCATCATTTGAGCATCAGTATGCCACCCTTTGAGCTGTTGTATGGGAGGAGGTACCGGACTCCCATTTGTTGGGGTGAGGTCGGGCAGCGTGTGATGGGTAGTACAGAGATAGTACTTCAGACGACTGAGCAGATTCAGCGGGCCAGACAGAGGTTGTTGAACCACTCAGAGTCGCCAGAAGAGTTATGCGGATAGGCGACGATCCGAGCTTGAGTTCCAGGTTGGTGATTTAGTACTCCTGAAGGTATCTCCTTGGAAGGGGGCGATCCGATTCAGGAAGAGGGGTAAGTTGGGACCTCGGTATATTGGTCCTTTCAGGGTGACTGCCAGGGTAGGCAGGGTAGCGTATCGTTTGGAGCTACCTACGGAGTTGAGCCAGATTCACGATACCTTCCACGTGTCTCAGTTGAGGAAGTGTATCGCTGATGAGTCGGCAGTGGTTCCGTTAGAGGACATTCAGGTGGATGCGAGCCTGAATTATGTTGAGAGACCGGTTGCGATTGTGGATCGAAGGATCAAGACTTTGAGAAACAAGGAGGTGCCATTGGTTCAAGTCCAGTGGCAACATCGGAAGGGTTCTGAAATGACCTGGGAGCCGGAGTTAGAGATGCGCGAGCAGTATCCAGAGTTATTTGTTGAGTGAGACTTCGAGGGCGAAGTCTAGTTCTAGTGGGGGAGAATTGTAACATCCCCAAATTCAGGTACAACTATTTAGCCCTTCTTTTATTCAAAGTGTCAAGTTAAACCCTTAAGAGGAATTGGTAGCAAATGAGTACGCTGGGCGTACTCAAGAGTACGCTGCGCGTACTCATGCGCTTATTTTGGACGCGGACTCGCCTGAGTACGCTGGGCGTACTCAGGGTTACGCCGGGCGTAATGTGTCCAGGTGCAAACCCTAATTTCTGACTTGTGCCCTATATATTGGATGCTAAGGCTCATTTCTCAGCCTCCCTAGCAGTGAGTAAAACCCTAAGAGAGAACTTCCCATCGTCCTTAGTGAGTATGTGTGATTTTGGAGCTAAAAGTGCCTTGGGGCGTTAGTGAAGAAGAAGGAGAGGAGCTTGTGGAGGCTAGAGCTTGAAGTGCAAGTTTGGATCTGAGATCTACAGAGGAAGGAGCTGCTTTTAGAGGTATAAAGTTCAAAGCTTTCCTCTTCTTTTGGTTTGTTGTTGCATGGGCCATTTCTAGGGTTAAAAGTCCCAAAGGTGGAGACTTTATGAGTGTAAGGTGCTCCATGGTCCAAGATCTGTCCCCTTTCAGTGATATTTATGTTTTAGATCCATAAAGTTTCTATCTTGGTCGTTGATATGAGGACATGCTAGAGTTTTGAGCTTTCTAGGGCTAGAAGTGGTATATTTTGGGTGTTAGTGACTTGTTCAGCCATGCAAAGGCTTAAAGTTATCGACTTTATGGATTAAGAGGCTTAGAAACGGTCAGATCTAAAAGTTGGACGAGAGTCTTAACTGATTAAGACCTCAAGAGCTAAGGGACTGAAATTGAGAGTTACGTGGGGCGTAATCTCAGTACGCGCAGCGTAAGGGGTCGCGCACCCCGTTTCTGTGAGGACGCCGGGTACGCCCAGCGTACGTGTTTGGTACGCGCAGCGTAACACGGAGGGTTGACTTTTGTTGACTTTTAGGGTTTGGTCAACTTTAGGGCCTTTGAGCCATGGGAGGGGTAAAATGGTATTTTACCCTTCTGAGAGTACTAAGAGGAGGAATAGTCTAGCCTTGAGAGATGTATTGATTTAGAGTGTATATTTCATATGATTAGGCGGGGGCTAGACCAGATTTTACAGAGTTCGAGCTTTACCGAGTTACCCGAGGTGAGTCTTCTCACTATACTTTAGCTAGAGTGGTAACAGAGTTATGTGACAGAGTTATTGTATGCTATCTATGTGATTTGTGGCACGACATTATTTCTATGTGATTTATGTTGTGTGTATACCAGAGTTAGGACCGGAAGGTCCAAAGAGCTAGGACCAGAGGGTCCACAGAGTTAGGGCCCAAGGGCCCACAGAGTTATAGCCTCGAGTGGCTAATGTGTGTTATGTTCTATAGTTATGTGCCAGTGTATTTGTATGCTATTTATGTGTTGAGATTTATTGTGATATGTGATATGCATGATCCAGAGTTATCAGAGTTAGGACCTTTGGGTCCATAGAGTTAGGGCTAGAGAGCCCACAGAGAGTTGGGACTGGAGGGTCCCACTGAGACACACTGACCAGAGGGTCAGCAGAGTCATAGCCTCGAGTGGCTAATATGTGTTAGAGTGGTATTTTGGGGAACTCGCTAAGCTTTATGCTTACGGTGTTATGTGTTATGTGTTTCAGGTACCAGTGGTGATCGCGGGAAGGTGCCGGCATGATCTGTACACACACCCGCAGAGTTTATTATGATTTGATCTTGGGATTTGTAGTGAGATAAAATTGATACATTGTCTTTGAAAGCAATTGTGGATGAATTTATATGGTTTTAAAAAGTGAAAAATTGTTTTGAAAATTTGGGTGTTACATATACAATTGCTATACTAGAGATTAGTTGTCCCTCTTGCGACATAGGTAAAGAGTTGTCAATAAAACCAAATTTATTCTTTGCGGAAAAGAAATTTATCATCTCATTCTTCCAGTCACTATATTTTCCGTCATGGAGAAGGTTTCCTCCAACGGAATTTAGTCTTGGATGATCAGAGGCTATGAGAAAATAGGGTGAGGAGATATCAATGGTGGTCCTTGATGGTGGTGGTGGGTTTCAACCTCGCCGTCGACTATTGTTTTAAATAAATTTGGTTGTTTTCCCATTTTTTCTCTGATGTCATATAAAATTTAGAATGAGATAATTGACTTCTTTTTATTTGATTAATGATAAAATTGTATACGTGAGTGTTTTTATACTAGGATCAAAATAAGAATCCTAAACATTATCAAACTAAAATAAAAACTAAAACATTTAAAAAAATAAAGATACGTAAATATAATGTCAATCTCAATAACTCACTATAGCGAACAAAAAAAATGGTGATAAAGGTCGAAGATGAGATTGCAAAAAAATTATAATATGTAGGTTTTATTTTTATATTATTCGTGTTTCATATTTTTAATCACTATGTTTTATTTATAATGTCTAAGTTTTATTATAATGTGATGTTGCGTCTATGTGGGAGCAAAACCGGTGTGATAAAAATAACATCACTCCTTCTCATGGTAATTTGAGAAAAATAGATCAATCGGTGTCTAGGATATGTGGTGTTCCATCTCTTTGATTTTGGTGATACTCCTAAATGTTTGTCACTTAGAAAGATTACCGGGCTCAAATAACTTTCATTTGTATCGATGGTAAAACTAGGCTGATGAATATTCTCACTTGAAAATATATCGGGCATTAAACGTTTCTTTTTGAAATTTATCTATTTCTGCTATTGAAATTAACAACCTTAAGGTAAGCATAATAAATTAACAATTGTACGATCAACAAGTAGGTGATAAAAGTGGTTAACGTGTATCTAACCAAATGAAAAAAAAACAAAATTAAACACTAAAAAATTACAATACCCTAAAAAAATTAATTAGTGATAAAATAACAATCAATGTAAACTTAAAAAACTAATTAAGTAAGAAAAATATCTAAGACCATTTGAAAGTAACATGACAAAGTTATCGAAACGACTATGAAACATCTAGTAGCATACATTCAATTACAAAATCAAAAGGGACTTAAAACTCATAGATCATTAAAAACTTAAGAAAAAGTAAATTAACACATTACAAAAGACAAATTAATAATCAAATATTACATAAAAGAAAACCTCGCAAAAGCATTCCGGTCAATTAAGTGGTGGTATCTTTGGCAGTTTCGTAATGATGTTATTTTTTAAAGTCAAATTTACTGATTGATAGTATGATCGATATTTCTTATATCTGAATATATGGGTAATGAACATGAATATGAAATTCAGTGTTAGTAGATTGGCTTGGCGTTTAAATCCTATTCTTTCTACTCCTACGTAACTTTTGTTAACTCCGCACTAACTTCTTAATAAAATGATTCAGATGTTCAAAAATAAAAAAATTATGTTGAAGAATTAAAAATTATGGTGCAAACTTGCATACAAGAGGAGAGACGAGGCTCTCATGCGGAGCATTGTGGTAGAGAGGCCAAGATCCCGAGTGATGGAAACGACAAGGAGATGTGGAGACCAAAGAAGCAAACATGTAACAGAGAGGACGGTGAGAGTGGTGTCCCCTGTTGCCGATGGTGGTTCACAGGCTTAGGACGTATGATTTTCATTTTTAATATGTGCAAGACTTATCTTTTTTCTATCTAGTAGTTAATAATTTTAAATTTCAATTTTGATAAAGATCTAACTTCCTTCTAAATAGTACTTTGAAGTGTTTTGACATACTAAATTTTAATTTTGGCGCTGTCTTGTTCCTTTCAAATGTTTTTAGAATTATCATAATCATTGATTATTTTTAATTATTTAACAATATAATACGAAAACAGTTTCCCTAATCTTTGAATCCGATTAATTTAATGAAATATCCTAGTTGTTGGGTATGCAAATATTCGATTAAGGGTATGTAATCTTATCTATTTAACATCTAACTTTTTATATATAACAAAATTTAACACCTCTTACTGAAACTTATGTTTATGTAATTAGATACCTATATATTGGCCCGCCCCTACATAATCAAAACATGACAGTAGGAGATACAAAACATGCATCTTCATATTATTTTATTTGGTTTCGTTGGATACATAATCCATAAAGAGATATAGAACATACATATTCAATACAAAGTCAAGTCGAGCATGTTTACCTATGAGTATACAACCTCAACTAGTTATTTAGTTCCATGTTAATTTGAAGGATGCATTGATCTTTAAAGGTCATCATTACCACCCACCACGATTGACAAATCCAAAAATGAATCTATATTCGGCAGTAGCCACATATATATACATATGCAGGAGGAGGTGCATCTCCAGGAGAAGGTGCAGTGTAGGGAGGAATTACACCTCCGGCTCCGGCTCCGGCTCCGGCTCCGTCCCCTCCTCCTGCTCCAGCTCCAGCCCCTGCTCCAGCTCCAGCTCCAGCTCCATTTCCACCTCCGGCTCCAGCTCCGGCCCCAGCTCCAAGTCCAGCTACGGCTCCAGGTCCATTAGCTCCAACTCCAGCTCCTGCTCCAATTCCAGCTGCAGCTCCGATTCCATTTCCATTTGCAGATCCCCCCATGCTCATTGCTCCATTATCATTTGAGTCTCCAACTAAAGGTGTGTCTGAAGCTTTGGTTTCATTTATTGTTGGAGGTCCAAAAATTATATCAAAATTGAAGCCACCTTGCCCTCTGTTGACATCATCTAACCCTCTGTTTCCTGCAATACCACCATCGAACATTTTTTTTCCTCTAATTTCACCACAAGTTCCTTCTCCAACATCACACCCAACACTTCCTCTAACTTTGCTTACCCCCTCACCATATCCAAGGGTTGTCTTCTCCTCTTCCAAAAGTTTTCTTCCACCAACACTTTGAATTGCATAAATAAAAAACACAAAAGATACAACAACACTAGTCTTAAAAGCCATGATATAGACTTTTTTCTTAATCTTCTTGTTATGAATTTAAATTTGTGAATATCACATGTATATATAGAAATTGATGTGATCCCTAATTTAATAAGATGATTGAGATAGAATTAAATTTACGGAACTTTGTATTTTAAAATTAAGCAATGATGTTATTATTTTATATTTATTAAAACATATGTTATTACACAAAACCACACGATATTTTTTTATTTGTTTGTATGTTACTTAAAATTTTAATTATAGTCATATTATTTTATTATTGTTACGATAAATGAAAAAACTATAAAAAAATGTTACACTACAAAAATTCATTTTCTTTGTATTTCAGAGTGATGGATTATAAGATAGATTGTTTTTTTTTGGATTCCATACACACTTTCAAACACTAACAATGACTCTTATTTATAGGAAAACTAAGGATTGAAAAACAAAATAAGACCATGTAAAGAGTGGTGGACAAAAGACGACACCTAGCACGTCTTCTGACAACATAACTTACAAAAGATGTCATCTATCATAAAAACTGAAACATGGTCTCCTCCTTTGAGGATCATCTCTCTCGCACGCCTTCTGATGACACAACTTACAAAAGATGTCATCTATTACAAAAATATATTAGAGTACAGTTTTGGTGTTGAGTACACTGAAACATGGTCTCCTCCTGTGGGGGTCATGTCTCTTCGGGTCCTCCATCCTCTTCATCACCACTTCACTTTTCACAAAAAAGTCCTAAACAATATCACTAGAACCTTGAGTTATGGCGGTCACTTTCATGTACCAAGAATCTGATGGGTTATGAGGATTTTTGGCCACAAAGGTACAAACATAGCAGAAGCAATATCAAATAAAACACGTCACAGTCCGAGAGACGGATCTCATGTACATCCAATCAATGTTACATAAATATTGAACAAAAGAGGGAAAAAATCATACTTTCGAAGCCTTTGCTTTGTTTCTTCTCGCTAGTTGAACATATGGAATATAATTCAAAGTAGGTTCACTTTTTTGAGATTGCACACAAGGACTCAAAACAACTTCACACTTCTATACCCGAAAATACCACAACAAATTTGATATGTTCATGAGGTGTGTCGAGACTACATGAAGACACGTTATGTCCCTTCGGGAATTTTAGGGTTTCAAGAAGAGAGAAGGGATTGACGGGTTTTAGATAGATTTTTCACTTGGAATCATCATCAGATGTTGTCCAGGGACTCCTCTATTCATATGGTGGGATTAGGGTTCCTTTTTAGATAATTATCCAATTATCTAGTATTTATCAATAAGGCAGATAATTATCCAACCGATTTGACTTTCAAATCTTTTCACTTAAGCCCTTGATAATATATATGTTTCGATTAATTAATTATACATTTAATTAGTTAATTGCTTATTTATGTCTTTGTGTGTAACCCAAAAGCACACTTCTATTAACAATATTTTTACCAACTTGTTATGACAATGGACACTATCTTCCAATACAGTCTCCCCTAAGTGAGATCTATAGGAAACAAATCCCTTTAACGAGTGAAGAAACCTCAAAACTAGCTTCCAAAGCTTGTGAACTCCTAATAGACATTAAATTCTTTCAATCATACGAGTCTTCACTTGTATCGTACCAAAAACAGTAATAAAAAATTTCATTTTAAAACCAATTGTTTCCAAACATCAGAATGTTCCAAAACATTTACAATACACAATATCAAAATCATCATAGTAATAATATCCAAAAAGGTGTAAAAATCATGAGGGGAGGATGTTGTGCCATCACGTCGGGCCATTCCCTTTAGTACCGTAAGTACCTGAAACCATAAACACAACTGTAAGCAAAAAATGAGTAGTGAGTTCTTCCAAAGTACCACATACCAAACATACAATTGGGCCCCGCCCCTGGGGTATATTTCAACCCAATAAACAATTAAGGGCCCCACCCTGGGGTATGTTTCAACTCGAACATGCCATAGTGGGCCCCGACCTGGGGTGTATTTCAACCCGACATACCATATTGAGCCCCGCCCTAGGGTGTATTTCAACCCGGCATACCATAGTGGGCCCTACCCTAGGGTGTATTTCAACCCGACATACCATAGTCGGCCTCACTCTGGGGTTTATTTCAACCCGATCATACGAACAAGTATATATCACATAGTAGCTAGTATTCTACATAACTGAATAATGGGTTGGCATTGGTGCTTTTGACCCATGGATACAGTGAGGAGACTCACCTCACAGACATGAGAAACTAAAACAACACGCTGCTCCGGAATTAACTTTACCGGTCACCTTTATAAATACATTGACCAAAACTAGGAATACAGATCAAAAATACCCCTAGGTCAACCTAGCTAGTCACCACGTTGTCACCTCCTTGTCCACGACGTGGCCGCAAACCAACAAAACAGGTGGGTCTTGACCAATTCACCACGTCGCGACGATCTTAACCACATCGTGGTGATGCGTCTGGACAACTTAAACCATTAAATCATTTTTCCTTCAACTACAAAAACTCCAAGGCCCATATCTGGTCCTTCCCATGGTCTTGATGGGTAAAGTTTCCAACTTTAACTCTCAAACCCTTATATAAGCAAAACTCTCAAACCCAACCACTAATGGTGTTTAATGCATCAAGATTCTCATTAAGTAGAAAATCCTTAGAGTTGCACCTTTAAAGTTTCCATAATGGTTTCACACTCCAAAGTGACCTTAAAAATCGTGGCTTTATAGACTTACATGTCCAAAACATCCCTTTTTCCATTTTATGGGAAAAATAGGGTTTAATGACTAAAAGCCCATGTATAACATCAAAACTTGATTATAATCCAGCTCCAAGACACTACTTGCTCATTTTGACCTGGAGATTCATAAAGTTGAAAACTTTATGAGATCCCATCACTTTAGTCCATCAAAATCATGGAAAAGGGGGACAAAAACAAGAGATCTAGCAACATGGCAAGAAAAGGTTTGAGTCTTGAGCACTCACCAAGGTCCTAGAGACAAGCTTAGCTGAAGAAATAATGCTTGCCAAGAAACCACCTGACGAAGAGCTTCCTTCTCCTTCCAAAATCACTAAAATGCACCAAGAATGACCTCACAACTTCAATGGAGGATAGGGATATGGTTTCTAAGGATGGGAGGAAGATAGAGGTTGAAACCCTAGCCTTAATGTTCCTTATATAGGGTCCAAGACCCAAAACTAGGGTTTTCACTTAAAACATCTTCCATGTTGTGGTGCCTCATGAACACGTCGTGGCGGGTCATTAAAATCTCGCAAATCCAAAGCCCTCCCTCACGTCGTGGTGATGCTCCACCACAGCATGGTCTCCCCATTAAAAGTCAAGATATACAAAGATATATTTATACTTAGACTGGATGTTACAATTCTCCCCCACTTGAACTAGACTTCGTCCTCAAAGTCCGTTGTTGCAAATAGCTCAGGGTAATGCTCCAGCATCTCTGAGTGGGCCCTTCAGACAATCCTCCCTGAAACCTGATCCAAACAAAGAGGTCGGCTTATAGAGCCGATTGCCTTTCGATACTATATTCAACCCAATATTAGATAAACTCACGTATCCCAACCATAAATAAATCCTTAACCCACTAAGTTTTACCACTAATGAATAACCATCACAATTCTGCCCAAACTCTGAAAACCGAATTCTAATTCGGTTTGGTTCGGTTTGAAAATCAAGAAAACTAAATATTACCTTAAAAAAATAATTAGTTTCATACAAAAACATCCAAAGTTTCATATGTAAATTACAATGCTTTTAACATAGAAAACTAAAGCTGCAAACATAAAGATCTAAAGTTCCATACGTAAAATAAAGATCCAAAGGTTTCATATATAAATCGATAAAATGGTATTAGTACTAGCTAGAAACATAAAGTTTAAATTGATCAAGTTTAACCCTACATTGGTAAAATAGTAAATAGGCTAAAATGATTTTTATTTTATAATTAGTATTTTTATTTAATATACAAATATATCATATATTTTTTAATTAATTAAGTTATTAAATTTGGTTTCTTGGTTTGGTTTGGTTTAAACTTCATGAGACCGAAACTCGAACAAAAAAAAAAGGTTCACAATTAGGTTTGGTCTCAGACCAAACCAATAACCGAATATGAATATGGTTTGGTCTGATATCGATTTCGGTTCGATCTGGTTTTCGGGTTTTTCGATTCTGGACTTAATAATTCCCACCCCTATCATGTAGTAGGCTGAGATTGTCATATTTTTTGTATGAATCATAATTATCATCCTTCTTAATTCAGAGGCTCTTAGGACGTTCTCTCCTGAATCTTTCTTCTAGAATCATCCATACATCGCGAGCGGTGACTGCTTATTTAAAATTACTTGTAATTTCTTTCTCCTTTCTTTCTCCCTAGGACTCTGACAAGTCACCCTCTCACCATGGCATTGCATATTTTCAAGTTCATCAAATCAGGCAACCCCTCTTGCGGTATAGCTAAGGAGTTGTCCATAAAACCAACCTTATTCTTGGCCAACAAGGCATTTATCATCTCATTCTTCCTGTCACTATAGTTTCCATCATGTATAAGGTTTCCTCCAACGAAATTTAGTCTTCCATGATAAGAGGCCGTGAGAAAATAGTATCAGGAGACATCAATGGTGGTCCTTGGTGGTGGTGGTGAGTTTCAACCGAATACGTGGGAGTTTTTATACTTTGATCAAAATAAGAATCCTAAACACTATCAAGGTAAGATAAAAACTAAAACATTAAAAAAAAAATAGATCAATTGCTGTCTAGGATATGTGGTTCCATCTCTTTGATTTTGGTGATACTCCTAAATATTTTTTCTCTTAGAGAGATTATGGGGCTCAAAAAACTTTCACTTGTATGGATAGGGTGAAACTAAGCTGATAAATATTCTCACTTGAAGATCTATCATGCAGTATATATTTCTTTTGAAAATTTATCTATTTGTGCTAATGAAATTAACAACCCTAAAAGGTAAGCATAATAAATTAACAATTGTACGATCAACAAGTAGATGGTAAAGTTAGTTAGCGTGTATCTCACCACATGAAAAATAACAAAATTAAACACTAAAAAATTACCATACCCTATGAAAATTTAATTAGTAATAATATAACATTCAATTTAAACCTAAATAACTAATTAAGTAACAAAAAATATCTAAGACAATTTGAACGTAACATAGCAAAGTTATCGAAACAACTAGTAGCATAAATTCAATTAAAAAATTAAAAGACTTAAAATTCAAAGATCATTATAAAGTTAATAAAGTAAATTGGCACATTACAAAAGACAAATTAATAACCGAATATTACATCAAAGAAAACCAGGAAAAAGCATTCGATTAATTTTGTTGAAGAATAATTATGGTGTAAACTTGCATACAATCAACTAATAAGAGAGAGGAGGTGCTCAAGCGAAGTCTCATTGTCACAGGGAAGCCAAGATCCGGAGTGATGGGAACGAGAAGGAGTTGTTGAGACCTAAGAAACAGACGTGTGACAGAGAGAACGATGAGAGTGGTGTCCCCCACTACCAATGTTTTAAAAATCGGTTTGAATCGGCGATCGAACCTGGAACCGAGGGAGGGAGTAGTTCAACTATCACCGGTTTTAAGTCGATTTCTAAATCGGAATGAACCGGCCGGTTTTTAGAAAACCTTGTTGAACCAGTCAAAATAAACCGATTAAGCCGAATAAAAATACATGGAAACGAATCATTTGCATAATAAATTTTGGTGATTTTTTTCAAATCTATTTAGTTTCTCTAAATAAAAATATATAGTAAATGTTATAAAGTTTTTTTGATGTGTTTGTAATCATCAAAAACTATATTTTGTTTCGGTATTATAATTTATTTTCTTTTTAACGTATATGGATTGATGTAAAACACTAAAACTTATGGTTATATATTATTTTAATGTATTTGGATTTATCCACAACTTATTTTTAAATGTATTTTTAATGTTTGAACTTGTAAACGTGAAATTCATGATTTATATATGTATGTATAGGAAATAGAAAAAAATATGAAAATTATAGAAACCGGTTAATCCGGTGGTCGAACCGGTTAAACCGGTTGAACCGAGAACCGATCACCATACCGGTTTAGCTAAAAAACCGGTTTTTAAATCATTTCTGACCGCTGATGATGGTTCACGGGATGAGGACATACGATTTTCATTTTTAATATGTGCTAGACTTCACTTTTTTTCCTATCTGGTAGTTAATAATTTTAAATTTTGTTTTTGATAAAGATCTAACTTCCTTCTAAATAGGACTTTGAAGTATTTTGAGATACCAAATTTCATTTTTGGCTGTTTCTTGTACCTTTGAAATGCTTTTAGAATTATCATAGTCATTGTTTATTATTAATTATTTAACAATATAATACGAAAACAGTTTCTCCAATTTTTGATTGAATCCGACTAATTTAATGAAATATCCTAGTTGTTGGGTATGCAAATATTCGATTAAGATTATATAATCTTATCTATTTAACAAATAACTTTTTATATAACAAAAATTAACACTTCTTGGTAAAACTAAAGTTTATGTAATTACATACCATTATGTATATATTGGCCCGCCCTTGCATATGAACATAATCAAAACATGACAGTAGGAGATACAAAACATGCATCTTCATATTATTTTATTTGGCTTCGTTGGATACATAATCCATAAAGAGATATAGAACATACATATTCAATACAAAGTCAAGTCGAGCATGTTTACCTATGAGTACACAACCTCAACTAGTTATTTAATTCCATGTTAATTTGAAAGATGCATTGGTCTTTAAAGGTCATCATTACCACCCACCACGATTGAAAAATCCAAAAATGGATGTATAATCGGCAGTAGCCATATATCCATATGCAGGAGGAGGTGCAGCTCCAGGAGAAGGTGCTGTGTAGGGAGGAGTTCCAGTTCCGGCTCCAGCTCCGGCTCCAGCTCCGGCTCCAGCTCCGGCCCCTCCTCCAGCTCCAGCTCCAGCTCCAGTTCCAGCTCCAGCTCCAGCTCCATTTCCATTTGCAGTTCCATCTCTAGCTCCGGCTCCGGCTCCAGCTCCGGTACCAGCTCCAAGTCCAGCTAAGGCTCCAGGTCCACCAGCTCCAACTCCAGCTCCTGCTGCAGCTCCAGCTCCAGCTCCTGTTCCATCTCCAGTTATAGATCCCCCGGCGGTTATTGCTCCGTTACCATTTGAGTCTCCAGCAAGAGACATTTCTGCAAAGTTGGTTTCATTTATTGTTCGAGGTCCAAAAATTATATCAAAATTAAAGCCTCCTTGCCTTCTGTTGACATCATCTAACCCTCTGTTTCCTTCAATATCACCATCCATCACATTTTTCCCTCTAATCTCACCACAAGTTCCTTCTCCAACTTCACATCCAATACTTCCTCTAATTTTGCTTAACCCCTCCCCATATCTAATGGTTGTCTTCTCCTCTCCCAAAAGTTTTCTTCCAGCAACACTTTCAATTGTATAAATGAAAAACACCAAAGATACAACAACAATAGTCTTAAGAGCCATGATATAGTATTTTTCTTAATGTTCTAGTTATAACTTTAGATAGGTGAATATCACATGTATATATATAAATTGATGTGGTCCCAAATTTAATAAGATGATTGAGATAGAATTAAATTTATGGAACTTTGTATTTTAAAATTAAGCATATTTAATAAAACATACTATGTTATTACACAAAACCTTTCGACATTTTTTTATTTGTTTTTTGTTACTTAAAAATGTTAATAATACTCATATTATTTTCATATTGTTACGATAAATGAGAAACCTGTAAAAACATGTTACAAAATTAGACAACTTTTTTGCCTTCTTATGTAAAATCATCAAAGATTTTAGATTTTAGATTTCAATGAGTCGTGTTTTCGTCACGGATTTTGAGTTCTATAGGTTGCTCATCATATATTTCACATTTCGATTTTTATTTCGACTTGAAGGGTTTTTCATCACATATTACAAATTTTATTTTTTTAAAAATAAAAATTTGATTCTTTTTTTCAAAAATCATTTTCAGATATTCGTTTTGAGTTCCAGATAAGATTTACGAGATTTCAGGGTTTTGGGCAAGATCTAAAGAATATTTCTAGTGAAGAAAATGATTTTTCAGTTCTTTAGTTCACAAATACATGAAAAATCTAGGAATCTATATGTGAACAAGATTTCTGAGTTCTCAAGTTCATATACATATGACCAAGATGTGACATATCTTACTTCTTGAGTTCACACACACATACATGCAAACCGCATTCATCTCATATTGGATAATCAATATTTCTTTAAGAAGAAGATCCATAAATCTTTGCTCATCCCAAAAAATAGTTCATTATGTTCTAGTGTTCCAGAGCAAGATGCAAGATGAAGATCAACATGATATGCATTTAGGCTTTTTAGTTCATCACCAACAAATTCATTTAGCTAGAGAAGATAACTAGAAAATTCATATTTGGTCGGAAACCTATACTACTAACCGGTTATATGGATATTTTATGAATATGGTAAACAAGTTAAATTGTCATAAGTATAAAATTAAAAAAAAAAACTTAAGTCTCTAAATATGTATACGAGGTAAAGTTTATTACCATATATAACTATTTACAATTTAATTAAACAAGTGTTACCGATGGGATTGCCTATACTAATTTGAAATTCTAAACAAAATTATTATATATATATTATAGTTGTGGAAGAAATGAATAGTAAACTTGGGATACTTTGTCCAAGTTTGATCCATTGATTTACATATCCGGTCCATGTACTTCTTTAATTAATTTATTCATGTCCTTTTGTTTGTGTTCCATTCAACTTCCAATTTTTTTGGCAGAATTGGTCCCTGTATTATTGTTGGAAGTTAGGAATACTAAGATGTTTTTTGGCAACTTTACTCATTATTCTTTACCCATTTTAACACTTTTGGTCCTTGCAATCAATATTTTTACACTTTTTTGGAACCTTTTAATATTTAAAGTTTGGCCACAAAACTTTAACGGTTTGACAACTTTGATCCCTTTTCTAAAAAGTTGCTAATTCCTACCCCTTTAATTCTTTAGCCATTTTCACACTTCTGGTCCTTGCAGTCAAAACTTTTACATTTTTTGTCCGAGGCAAAGCTCGGACTTTTCATCCTTGCACTTTCTATGTCTGTCATATTTATCAATTCAGAAACAACATTGAAAGCTTCTGGCCCCCGCGTAGCGGGGGTAACCTTTCTAGTTTGTAATTAAATTTTTTTATGTAGAACACGCTAAAGCTTGTTGTGAAACATTACAATTATAACTCATAACTACAACTCCTTTAGAAAAGAAACTATATTGCTTAAATTAAATAGTCAAATTTAGGTAAATATGTCATGGTAATTTTTGAAGGTTATATAAGATCCATGTTTAATCATTTCTAATCAATTAGGTCAATACTTTTTCTGTGTTGTTTCCCAAATTTAGTTATCTTTGTGAAGATTGTTTTCTTAAGTTTGTTTTTATACGCACGTAGATCGTGAACGACGTACATCAAGTATTATAACATCCCCTTATAGTATAGCACACTATTCTCCGCTTTGAGCCACCGACATGAAAACTTCCCGGTGGGTCACCCATGCTGGAATTGCTCTCGCCCATGCACGTTAAACTATGAAGTTCTTGTTGGAAGGTATCCACACCCTTATAATAAATGCTTAATTATCATTCCTAATCGATGTACGGACATGTCCAAGTAGCCACCCACATTCATCTCTTTTACATGATCTAACATCTCCATAGAATGCAACGACTCATTCCCTAGCTCTGGTACCATCTTTAACATCCCCCATAGCATGTATTATAATATTTCTTGTCCACTTTGGTCCACCCGGTGAGAACTTTCTAGGAGGGTCAACCATCCTTCCACTTAGGCAAGCTTAACCATAAAGTTCTTATGGGATATGCTACCCTCATGACTTTAAAACACGTTGTAATACGTAACGTATCCATATCTTGTTGAGAATTTTTATAACTTGAAAAGTTAAGTTGCAAAAATTGTTATGTTCCTCATAGGATCTTTTGTAGCTCAACAATAATTAAACATGTAGAGTGTTAGACTTAAATAGAAAAATACATGAACAACAATTATAAGTTAAATGTAAAACATATAAACAACCTTTTTGAATCTTAACCAAGCTTTCTTGCAAGGATTAAAGTTAATAAGTGATGAACAACAAAATTGAAGGATAAAGGATTACAACTTGTATTTCAGACTGATGGATTATAAGATAGATTCTTTTTTGGTATCCTATACACACATTCAAACACTAATAATGACCCCTATTTATAGGAAAACTAGGGAGTGAAAAATACAATAAGACCATATAAAGTATGGTGGAAAAACAAACCATACCTAACAGGCCTTCTGATAACATAACTTATAAAAGATATCATTTATTACAAAAATATATTAAAGTACAGTTTTGGTGTTGAGAACACTGAAACATGGTCTTCTCCTTCGGGGATCATTTATGTTCGGTTCTTCCATCCTCTTCATCACCACTTCACATTTCACCAAAAAGTCGTGAACACTCTCACCAAAACATTGAGATGTGGAGGTCACATTCTTGTACCAACAATTTGATTGTTATGAGGAAATTTGGGCCACAAAGGCACAAAGACAACAAAAGCAATATCAAATAAAACCAATAACGTCACAATCCAAGAGACGGGTCTCATGTACAACCAATAAATGCAACATAAATATCGAACAAAATAGAGGGAAAGAAAATCATACTTTCGAAGCCTTTAATTCTTTGTTTCTATCTATTTGAACGAATGTAATTGAATTCAAAGTAGGATTCCTCTTCTGAGATCTCACCCAAAGAAATTAGAGCAACAACTTGACACTTTTGTAGCTAAAAATATCATAACAAATCTGATATGTTGTTAAGGCATGCCGCACTGCAGGAAGATATGTTGTGTCCTTTTGGGAATTTTAGGGTTTCGAGAAAAGAGAAGGGGTGCCAGGTTTTAGATAGATTTTTCACTTGGAATCATCATTAGATTTCATCTAAGGAATCCTCTGTTTATATCGTAGGATTAGAGTTCCCTTTTAGATAATTATCCAATTATCTAGTATTTATTTATAATGAAGTAATTATCTAAAAGATTTGACTTTCAAATCATTTTAATTAAGTTGTTGATAATCTATCTGTTTTCATTAATTACTTATACATTTAATTAGTTAATAAACTTGATCTTAATAGTTCTCTTATGTCATTAATTGCTCATTTATGTCCTTACATGTAACCCAAAAGGACACTGGCATTAATTGTATTATTACCAACTAATTATGATAATGGGCACTATCTTCCAATAACATACCCCCCCTAAGTGACCTCTGCAGCCAAAAACTCACTTTGACAAGTAGAGAAACCTCAAAACTTGCTTCCAAAACTTGCAAACTCCTAATAGCCATTAAATTCTTTCAGTCATTCAAGTCTTCATTTATGTGGTGGGGTAGTTTTATCTATTAATCGCATCAGCAACTCATTGGAGGTAAGAATTTATACATCGATGAACTTGATTGAGATGCATAAGCATCTTCTCACCAACTTTACCATCACAAAATATTAAACCAACCTACGAGTAATTGGTTGCACCACACTTAAGCTCATGGATTCCTTCCATGGATAAATCAAATTGCTCCACTTGATCATCAAATATGATGTTCTTTAAATTTTTATCAATTGTATCAAAATCATGAATAATGGATATTAGAAAATTGATGACGATGAGGTAAGGTGGTTTGCAGTTGTGATACTTCTTGATATTACCGTGAAATAATAGTATGCATGTTTTGAGTGCGGAGGAAGAGCATTTCAAGAATAATTTCCCAAAGAAGAAAGCAACTGCAAAGCCAAACATGTAACATAAACCAAAGGCACGAATAATCCAGATGACCCTGGAGGCATCAGAGGAGGAAGCATATGTCACTTCAGGTACATTTCTAGTAAATAACTTACCTTCCACTATTTTCTTTGATTCTAGAGCAAACTACCTCTTTTATTTCTCATAAATTTGCTAAAATACAAGCATTGCCTTTACACAATCTAGATAATGCCTTATTAGTCGAAGTTTCTAGTGGTATGTTTATATATGTTAGTGATCGTATGAAAAACATCGTCATCAACCTGAATGAGAATAAGTTCCATGAGAAATTATTGGTCGTTGAGTTAAATGGTTTTGGCATAATATTAAGGATGGATTGGAGGAGTGAAAACGATGCTGATATAAACTGTGAGAACCCGTAAATTTCTGTCTAGTTAATTCAATCAATCAAAAGTCAGACTTATTGCTATTACCTTTTAGCCTAGTTAAGGGTCATTTTAATGAGTTCTAAGCCCTGTACACTTATGGATTGGATATTGAGAAGTGTTAGCTTGGAATTAGAGGAATGAAATCGAACTAGAAAACCCATCAAAGGGTGTTCACGGCCGTGAACCCAAGGGTGGTCGTGAACCCCTCCCATATATATGCCTTTCTTCC